AATTTTACTTTAAGGAAGTCAAAACGGTGATTCGATAATTTTCCTGCAGCTCCTCCGCGTGGAATTTCTACTTAAAACTTGATTAAAATAGACGACTCTATATTAACTATCGTTTTCTTTTTTTTTTAACTAATTTTAGTTCAGTCTGTGTTTGAACAAAGTCCCTCATGATTGTTAAAAAGAAGTAATTTTTATACTCATTTTATAAATACCCTTTACTTTGTAATCGATGTTTTCTAGACAGTGTAAATCCACTTTTATCATTTTATTAGAAATAACCTTCATTACTTTGTCTTAGATTATTTACCTTTTTACTTTAGAACTAGATAGAAGAACACATACTCAGGTATACATTGTGTAGAAAAGATCAATAAGTCGAGCGATTAATAACAGTAAATATGCAACGTCACACAAATCCGTCCATTGTTTATATAATATTCAGATTCTTGTTTTTAATAGGAGTGGCTGGTTGAAGAACCCATCAGTAGGGAAAGTCCTATAAACAAAAACACAGGTTATAAACTCTGGCCAGCAACCTGCAGAAAAAAAATTAGGGAAGACCGCGATTTCCTAAACAGTGTTATTTAGGAGAGCTGGAAAAAATCCATGCGGATGGCACTTTAAGAAACCAGTTAGTGTTAAAGAAACAAAATTACTAGAGAACACCTGCCGTATAAGAACCAATCGAAGTACATTTCGCCTGCTGTCAGTAACACTGCTGTGTGTCCCAATGGCACCTTTCCACTCATTGTGAGTAGCTTCTACCCTTTTTATAAGGCTTGCAGTTGGAGCTCGCTATATAGCGCTACAATAAGCAATGTAGCTTCAAGTTGCCCCAAACATATCTATACATTGTCTCCAGAATGTTATTTCAGTGCCAAAGCGGATATTCCGGGCGTCCCAAGCCGCTGCACACAACCCAATAATTGCTTCTCACCAGCCTCTGAAGGGAGAAACACAAGATGTAATCGTTCAAACATCGAGGGAATCGCAACCACGTGATAAAGAAGAGATCTTTGAGTGCACTGCCTGAGTCAATACGTTAAGGGCGTTTGGTACCAACTATTTTCTCCAAAAGCAATTCTACCGAAAGGATCTTTCACGAGGCTTTTTTTCTTTGTGAAAAATGATTGGATCGTTCAAAAGCGGAAAGCTGCTAACGTTTTTCACAGTAAGACGACTTCTTAGGAAGAAAATTTAACCGTATCAGGACCCTGGTATTTTGGGTCTTTCCAAAACTGGAGGGGCGGGGGCACATTGTGCCCTCCCTATTCGTCGGCCGATCTTTCAAATGCTTTCAGATTTGGCACATACAATTTTGTGGTCAATATTCATCCAACCTAACAACCTTTGGCATTGAATGTCATCGCTAGAGGGCGCCCACCCACTGGGAGGGGGGGGGGGATTTGTCATTGTTCGTGATTTTGTGCCAAAGAATAAATTTTGTTCAACCGCAACAACTGAAGGTCTTATGATAATATTGTAAATACATTGCATTTAATATCTAAGAACTGTCAAACGAATACTCAAAAACAAAGAAAAGTGTCGGTGCAGAAAAGGTAAAAATTAAAACCGGCTTTTTCGTGCCAATTGGGTCAATATTGGTTTAACTGCATGCTCTGTTGTTGGTCAAAGGACCTTGAAATTTAGTCTAAAGTGAAAACTTTTATCAAATGACCGCCACATATTTATTTCATAAATTTTTATCTTCGTACGAGTGCTCTGAGTTCCACTAGTCCACGTGTATTTTAGATTTTCTGAAGTGAAAGGTCAATTTTTGGCACGATATTTCTCTTGCACGTCATGCGATTTTTCAGTTTCAGTAACAATTTTACAAAGGACTTTTCCCGAGGGTGATTTTCTCAAGAAATCAATGTACCAAATTTTTTTCCGACTTTTACATGCTAATTTTCCTATTAGTGGAGGGGTCTGGAAGTGCGCCATCAGTAGTCAACTTTCAGGCTCTATTTGTTTGCATTTGAGATTGCACATAGAAAGGACAATATTCTGTTTATAATTTAAAAAAAAAAAAACATGTTCCGGTGAAATTCAGTAGTAAGTGGAATGTACTCATTGTAAACAGCCAAGGCTGTAGCCATTGGAAAATGTACTAAGTTCTAATGCGTTACTGGTTATAGGTAATGGCTCTGTCAGCATCAAAAAATGAAACTGCCAAAATATAATGAAAAATCCTTCTTGATTGTAGATAAATAATAGGATCAAGCACCCTGTGAAATCTTTGGGCCTCGGCTGTAATGTCCAAGATAAGGGAAAGTACGATGGTTAGGACCTAACCATCGCGAAAAAAGACTGCTTTTCCCTTAAGCACTCTCCAAATTAACCTCATTAACATTAGTTTGCATTTAGTTACATATATCAGTGAATGAGAATTATTTTCCCGATTGACATACTGGGATCATACCACAAGAGGGTGCAAGTCAAAACTTATTTAATAAACATTTTGGAAATCAGGGTTTTTAACGGAAACCTTGCTTTTTGCATCGAGAAAATGAAGATGCATTTCCACAGTTTTTTTTCGAAAAGTATATCCTATAATGAGCTGCAATTTCACAGGTAAGTTTGTTTTAATAATTTGCTTCAAATGTATTGTGTTGTTGTTCCGTAAATCGACAGAAAATACACATTTTTTTGCAAATGTTGTTATTTTTATTTAGAAACGAATGGTTTAATGTTTAAGTTTTCATGTTTTAGAGTCCCACCGCTGGTATCAAATCATTTGCTTCAGGGTCAGTTTTGATCTGAAACCAATAACGAAGGCCGACAGTAGACACACTTGAAGAAACAGGATTTAATTTGTAAGTACAATGTTTTTATTAATGCAATCCATTGACTAAAATATATCTACATTGCATGTATTTTTTTCTTAACATTTACAAATAAAAAATCCGTGTATACATTTTCAAAAACGAAAGAAAATTTGCCTTTTTTTACATACATTATCCGTGTTTAATCTAAAACTTTATCAAATGACAATGTGAACACAAAATCAAACTATTAATAGAAACGAAATTCACCATTTTTAAAAAATGATATATTATATTAACATAAGGAATTGTTAAGACATTAGATACATCATGACTATACACAAAATAAATTTGAGGAAACGGTGCTATTTGGATTGGCACCCATATCCTAGAGTGGAACTTAACGGAGTCTGTTATTGTTGTGCATTCATAGACTTCAATACTGCAAAAACTATGGTGTTGAATTAACCTTGTTTTGAATCTACATGGGGCCCTTTGTGCAATAAAGGTACGAAAAACTAGGTCGTTAATCTTAAACCAGAGTTTTGCAATGTTAAAAAAATATAAAGACAGATGGGAGCTTGACTTTGAAGCCTCAAAATAGCCTACAGGCATTACGATTGTACGGACATAAGTTACTTGTGGCCTGATATTGTTGCTGAATATTTTGTCACCTCAGTTTAAGGACATACAGCTGTTACTGCATTTAGTACATATCTGTTTGATGATTGCCTTTAAAATACGAAATTCACACAGTCAGAGAATCAGCGAGACAGCTTTTTTGTTTATAACTATAAGCAAGAACATGTTTGCATAGGAATTATTTTAAAAGGGAAAACAAACACAATAAAACAATTTAGAATTCCAGTTGGATCACTACATCATCGTTAGGGTATTAAGATTGATAATCCGTTCGTTCGTTAGTCCCTCCACATGCCTGCTGTCTTTCAATTGGTCTTACAGTATGTTTGGCTGTTATCTGTCCGTCCATCATACCTTCAGTTTATTTCGGATACCTGTCTGTGCGGTCAACATTGTCTGTTCAACTTGTACAAAAATGTCTGAGTATCCCTTCTGTTTTTTTTCGTTGGATTGTCTCACAGCTGATAAAAGGTCAAGTTAATCCACAGTCTGTTCGTTCGTCTCCAAGATCATTGCGTTCTGTACCGTCTGATTGTTTTCGTCTGTCTGTCCGTCAATAATGTATGTGTTTACTCATGAGTCGTCCGTCCGTCAATGTCTGTTGGTTTGTCTCATAGAGCTAATCGAATTAAACACTGCTCTATGATTGGTTTAAACAAATCTGTCTACGATCCGTTTGCCCAGGGCTGTCAAGCTCATATGAAAAATTTCTGCCTCGTACTCCGTGTTAATTTGTCAGCTGTCTGGTCGTGTCGACCTTCAGTTCGTCAGATGGTCTGTCAATCCGTCAGTCTCTTGGTTATTTGTCGGTCGGTTGGTTACTTATTCGTCTAGTCGTCCGTCCGTCTGTTTGTCATTTCTTTCGATCGTCATGTCCGAACCTATTCCGGTTTTCTCGTTATCAGAATTTGTGTCTTTTATAGATCGTATTTTTCGTCTTCCCAGTTGAAATTCCAAGAGAATCATAACCGGGTAACGTTTACACCATGGTTATAACGTGAACAATCGTAAAAGTGGCGACAGGTCTTTTCAGTTACAATGTACCAAGGTGATTTACTCTGCACCACAAACATACATGAATGTGCATCTTTTGCAGACTTTTGCCGAGGCTATGCAGTTACATGTACCATGAGCCGGCAGCTCAACATGAAAACTTTGAACTGTGGCAAATATAAACAGGGACATATCTTAATTTGATTTGCCCGTGGATTCGCCTTGAAAAAGCGCCATCTCTAGAATATAATACAACCTAGTCAATCGAATACCAGTCTTTAAGATAAGTTTAGGCCACAAATTGCAAAACAAAGGTTAATATCATTTGAATTGAAGCTAATGACTCCAGAAACAAGTATCATTTAACAGTTACTTCTTAAGCAACCATCTCAGTGGGACTTCAAAGCCATCTGGATATGCACAGAGATATCAATAGTAATTGCACAGCAGACATATTTTCAACAAGGAATGATAATCTAGTTCACTGCACTGCCAAATAATTATCACTGAAATTTGGGCTTGATTGTCATATCTTTTCTCAATTTGTTCATTTTCTTCCCCCAGAGTCAAATTAAAAATAATAAGAATTAGTTTCTTGTATTTTTTTTTATTTAGTTAGTGCACAGTAAAACTACGGTGAATGTGAGTTGACATTCAAGGGTTAGTAACCGTGCAACCAAACAACAAAGTCGTGCCATTCAAAGATGATACTTAGTCCTCGAGTAAATAAAGTTATTAATAATGTATTGTTTTGTATTCAAATTATGGTATATATGCTCTACATGATCAAACACGTTATGGAGAACAAGGTTTGAAAAGAGTTAACTGAAGAGCTTTTGCCTAAAATTTGACTTACATTTGCACAATGACAGCCTCATAACGTCATGATATATGTTTTGTCCAGTAAATCACTTTAAGTATAATCTGCAAATTTTCGTTGCAATAAAACCTCAACATATTTTCTTTGAAGAAAAATATCGACAATGCTATTGTAATATATTAATTGTGCAACACGCTTCTTTTTTTCTTCCGATTTTTTTAACTTTAATAATTGCACTTGACGGGAATATTCTTTTCTTTGTATTTACAAAACAAAAACTGATTCTATATGGCGGGCCTGAAGGAACATTATAAAGTTGGCGCGAATTTAAAATCCGAGGCTGACAGAAACACGAGGTTAAACCACTCTAGTTTGTAATAGTCCTTTATTATGCTGCCACCATTTCAGTCATGTTCCCTGTATCCAATAACAGCACTGAGTGACACTTTTGTGTGTGTAAAAACCAGACTCTTCCTTCCAGCCTCGCTTTGGTTACATTGATTTGAATGGGGAAAAAAATCAAATGGCTGCAACATGATAATGGTCTATGCCTCAAACACCACAATATCGGGAAGTCAATGTTGAGTTTATCTCCTTGATTGCACACTGGCTATTTATATTGCTTGCAAGCAACAATAATACATTCCTCCAATCTTTACATTGCCTTTTGAACACTCAAAATAACACTCTTGGTTATGCATGTAGATTATAAATTTACCAAATTACAAATAGTCATTATCAGACACCATGCATTTTAATTTATATTTTTGCAATTGCTGACGTTGACAAAATCTTGTCTAATAAATTGTAAAGTAATTACAAAGAAAGCTTTTGACGAGTATCATCTTTCCCAACCTTACAAATACCAAAGATTGATGATTACAAAGCCTCTCCTACGTCTCGTTTGTAGGTGATGCAATGTCTAAAACCTTGTAGCTTCTTCCTCTGGTGTTCTGGACTCGAAGTCTGTGAAATGTAAAGTGAAATGTCGCATTAAGGCTTGATTTTCAGAACTACACAAGTGGACAAGCATTACACTCACTGTGTGGACTAACGAACAAAAGATGTCCACCTAAATAAGGTAGTAGCGACGTTGTGTGGACTTGCCCACGTCCACACAATGTTTTCCCCTCTCTGGAAAACAGGTTAAGATACATTTTTGGGTTAGGTTTATCCGTGGCAAAATGAAAAAAAAGACTGAAGGGAATCATATAAACAACTTTAGGTTGAAAGAGTTTTCACATTTTGAGAAAAAGGATTTTTTTTCACTGGTTTTTCGTAACTACACGTTACATGGGTGTTTAGGAGAAAATACTGGCACATTTAAAGCCAGTCCGAGAAAAGTACGACGAACTGACATTTCCCCTCATCCAGGGAATTACTTCGTTCACAAAGCTGTGGTTCCGTACGAATCCAGTGTATTTTGCAATGTATATGAAGATAGGTGTACACTGTGTGCTATAAGAACCTCCCATTTACTTCTGCTTAATATAGTGTTCTTACTCAGAACTATGTTGTGCTGGAGAGAAAGAATTCCCTGACCAAAACTAACATTGTTTCCAAGACCTTAGATGTTTTTACTAGCGCGAAAAATGAAGAGTTTATTTCCAAAACGTGATATTCGTCATTTTGAATCCTGATCTCTCCTTGCTGCCCAAAAGCAATTTTGACGGCTGTGTAAAATTCGTAAAAGTTGAACATATTTCAACTCGGGCGAATTTCGCAGCGAATGCTTCATGACGTCAAATTCGCTTCGCATTCGCATGCAGTATGAACCGGGATTTATATACTTAAACACAACTTTAGAATACAAGAAGGCGAAAATGAAGTTTGGAAGCAGCTGCTTTACTGTTTTTATTCTTTAAAGTTTCATAACCATGATATTTTTTCGCTTTTCTCAAATGGATATGTCGCGTCTTGGACATAAACTCTTCCATTATTTCCGCCAAATATCCTGAACCGGAGAAGATGGCGTGGCTTAGAAAACACGTAATTGCTCACCTACCAGAGGAGGTTGTATTGGAGACTGGTGCCGCACTGGTGCTTAACGTCTGTGCCTTCATCTCTCCGTTGGGTTTACCCTCAATGGACCCGCAGGTGGACCGCATGCGGCTGTTGAGCATCATGGTACCAGACGGCTTCTTGTTCTTCTGCGGGGCAAACATGACGATGTAGATCTTGGGCACGAAAATGCAGCCCAGTGTGACGGTAGCACTTACAATGAAACACAGACACAGTAAAGTCTGCTGGATCTAGGATGTGTTGGGCGAAGGAGAAAGGAGGAAACGAGGCGCGACATTATGGGTTTTGTTTTAAAAACAATCGTGGCAAATTGGTTCCTGGTCGATTTAACATGATCCCTTCAAAACAATTGTCGACGTTGGTAAAAAAAAAATATACCATGGCCTGAGGGCCCTGTCACACTTCTGCGTATCCTTATTCTTATGAGTTGCGCATTGACATTTTTTTCATACGCAGTCGTACGCACAATACGCACCTCATATGTATCTCTATCGTTTTGTGTAAGTTTTATGTACGCAGGCATACGCATGGTACGGCCCAGTACGCCGGATAGTTTTGGGCGGCATGCACAAAACTACGCTGCGAACGCTGTTACGCAGGTCATACGTTATAAATACGCAGCGCATCGGTCCCGCATCGGTCGAGCACGGTACGAGTACGCTATGTGTTCGTGGGGGATAAGCGGTTCATACGCAGTAATACGCTGACCTCCCGGCACGCACCCCGTCAGCATATGAGCCGCCCGTATTGAACGTATACATAGCGTACTTGCAGCGCAGATACAACGCACGCTGAACAAACTCATAGCGAATGCCGACGTATTGCGTCAGGCATGCGGTCGGCATAAGTCGGGTGCGTCCGGAATACGCTCAGCATGCGCACTGCATACTGACCTATTTACAGCCCGAAAAATAATGTTGTGCACTGCATTACCCAACTCATACGCATCTCATACACAATGGATGCGCTGAATTCGTTACTTATACGCTAGATGTGCGTCGCACATAAGTCAAAGTATTCAAAAAAATTCGACGTTTTGAGCGTACGGTTGCGTATTGAAAAATTTTGATAAGGAACTCATAAGGAATTAGGATACGCGAAAGTGTGACAGGGGCTTGAGCTGTTGATTTTACTCGAATTAACTTCCCCTCTGGGTTATTCCATACCTTCTTTCATGGAAATATAGCATCGCCAGACTTTTCCCGACACATTTTCAACACAGTATCCGCAATAAGTCACGAAGCGGTTACGAAATTGGACTACAAAAAAAAGTATGGCCCCCAAAAAGTGTCCGTCTAAATATTTTTCAAAACCCAACAAAACCACACAATTGTTTTTGAACATTTTCAATTGTGCAGATACTCCTAAATATTGCAGTCGGCTTAAAAATGTTAAAATCACTAACAGTAAAGTGATTTGGTTTTAGACTAGGACTATACTGATTTTAACTGCTTCACAGAAAATGGCAGAACATTGATTTTTTGGCTCAAACATATCTTTGGATTTACAAAAGCAATCTCAATGAAACAAACCGTATTCTCAAGCTACATCTACTACCTTGAAGATGGTGTCATCCGCCCAAAATTTTGGTTGTAAATTAGCAAAAATGGAGGGTTTTACATGCACCATTTTTTTTCAGGACGCCCTGTATATACCAAGGAAAAATTTATTCCAATCCCTAATCGCAGCCCTTGTTCACAGCATGAAAGGTTTTACACATCTTTCATACCAAAGCACTGAAATTGATGCAGGCAAGAAAGTTGATCACAGTGTCCAAATATGTTGTTGTGTTCCATTGACCATTGTGTGGTGAGGCGTGAGGGAAATTAAATACAACTCGTATGGGTCGAGGCATTCCTTGCTCTATGGTTTAGGCAAAGGATTAGGAGTATCTGCACAATTAAAAAAGTTTCACAATTGACCTCGTGGTTTTGTTGTTCTTTCAAAAATATTTAGACGGATTTTTTTGGGGGAAATACTGTATTTTACCCTCAATGACTACTAAAAAAAAACACGCTTTGACAACACTTATCTTTGATCAGCTGCATGGGTGGTTAGCTTTTACAGAGTTGAGATACCGTTGTTTTAAGAAAACAAAATATTTCTCTTTTATGGAAATGTTTCCCTGCACGTGACGACTACAGAAACATTTGGTGACAAAATCTACAAAGTTATGGAAATGTTTTCCTCCACGTGACGACTACAGAAACATTTGGTGACAAAATCTACAAAGTTATACAGTAATATGATCATCTCAAGTGAAGAAGTCAGTGTCACAAAGCGCAAAAGCTGATGAACCCATACTTACTTTATAATCTGTTGAGGAAGTGCCGATGTATATTGGTATGAAGGCAACCCACACAACGCAGGTGGTGTACATAGCAAAGGCGATAAACTTGGCCTCGTTAAAGTTCTCCGGCATTTTGCGAGTTTTAAAGGCGTATACAGTGCACATGACAATAAGAACCATGGCGTAAGACAAGGACAGCACCAGTGACAGGTCTGTGACTGCACATTCTAGAATAGCCTGGTGCCAGGAAGGGAAGGTCTTGATAGCTTGAGGAGGGTCTATTGCCAACCACAAGGTGGCACCTACCAGCTGTACAGACACCAGACCGAAGCAAATCACCATTTGTGATCTGGGACTGGTGTATTTAGGTCTTCTCACCGACCGCTTGCCGCTGTTAAAGATCCGGTAGACGCGGTTAGTCTTGGTATAAAGCGCGGAGAAGGAGATGACTACGGAAAGACCCAGCATCATCCTGCGCAGACAGCAGGTTAAGGTGCTGGGTCTAGCGATGAGTGTAAACACGGCCATGTACGTGGCCAAGATACCAAAGAGCAGGACGTAACACAACTCCCGCCCAGACGCACGGATGATGGGAGTGTTGTTGAATCGCACGAAGATAACGATAATGAACATCGTACATGCTATCCCTATGATAGCTAGCAGAGTGGGCGGGATGGCCCAGGGCGAGTCCCATGTCAAGTACTCCGCGGGGATCTCGATGCATCCTCGCCTATCCCGTCTGGGCTGATAACCCAGGGTGCAATTCCTGCAGTGCCACTCGTCCACCAGATACTGGTAAGATTCACAGTTGACGCATAGCCAGCAGCATTCGTCTCCGGGTCGTTTCTTGCGTTTTTCCCCTTTATTGATGTCGCAGGGTAAGGAGCAGACTGATTCCGGGATGCGGTCTGGGTCGCTACCACCCCAGCTGACATGGGTCCAATTGAGGGAGAGTTTATCCACCCATGTCCCTATTGGCACATATCGATAATCATCCGACTCTGTCTTTTGGAACTGGTAGAGCTGATAGCTACCCGGTCTGTCGCCATCTCTGTTGAATCGAACGGTGCCAGTGCTCCCTAGTGTTAAGAAAACGAAAGAGAAAAAAAGATCCACTCCGTCTAAATTGTTAAAAATAACCAAACAGGTTCAAAACCTGCGCATTTGAAAACAATTGGCGCATCTTCATCTAAAGGTGTAGGTATAAAAGGTTAAAAGAGAAAGGTAATTGACACCTTTTTCAACACTACCTGTGTTAAAAGTGGCTCCTTGTGTACACCATATACGTAGTTTCTGAAGATTCGGCAGTTTTTATCAAATAGACCTAAGGAATAATGACGTCACGCTTTGTTTACATTTGCGCTTTTCTATGGGAGCTCGGTGGATCTCGCCCCAAACTGGCTCCCATAGGAAAGCGCACATGTAAGCAAAGCGTGACGTCATTATGTCTTAACTTAAGTCCAGACCCACATATACACGTAGAAGTGACAAAAACCTTAACTAATTCGCCCGTGTTCATCTTTAATTAATTACACTGATGTAGAACTCGGGTTTTTTTGTTCTAGTTTTTTTACCTCCAAAGGAAATATTCTTCAAGATATCCAGAAGCGAGTGACCATCAACATTCATGAACTCAGGGCACAAGCCGGCCGAGCCGTTACACAGCTCGCCTTGTATCCTGTTCAAGGCGTGGGCGAAGGCGTAAACAGCGTCCACTACGAAGGAAATTTTGCCTTCCTGCTCGTAGGTTTCGTCAGAAAATGTCTCTTCCCCTGGAAGTACCAAAAAAGACAGATTGTTAACGGACGGGCATACTTTTTAATCCAGACGACATTTTAAATGTTAAATATCAACTAGTATCAACTTTCACGCACCTGCAGCAGCCTGTAAATCTTTAACATCAAAATATGTCGAAAGAAGAAAGGTCGTTGTCTTTATATCTTTCGCACATAACTTTATTTTATTTTTGCACTTTCATTCTGTTAACTAACCTGTTCATACCCACTTGTGAAATGCTTCCATTTTAAGACCCCTTCAAACTGGAAAAATGTATATAGATTTGCGTGTCGAAGTTGCGACTAATTACGGAGGGAAAAAATGGGAAATTTGTTTTTTATCCAATTTTGTGGCTGTTTTGGCAGGAGGGCAAACTAATATTGCTCCATTGTTACTGATTCTGAAGTGTTGCCCCAACCATAGGATTTTTAAACATTCCTACGAAGCGACTGCTACGGCCAATATATCTGTTTCTACTGCTAAACACGTTTAGTGTTTGTTATTACAAACCTAGTAGGCTTTTGTTTGCTGCCCCACGAGTCTGAATCCTGTATAGAATGATTATCTCTGCTGATTGCATACCTTACCTGTGCACAGTTTCGGGTTGTCCAGCTTCTCAGTTTCGAACACATCAAAAGTGCAATGGAATGTCCTCTCCCAGTACTCTTGGAACCAGACGCGGCTCGAGCCGTTCGTTGGTGTCAGCGAAGTGAAGTATTCGTCAAAACCTGTCGTGCATGAACATAAAACAGGAACGATTGACAATAGGCCTCTGGTGCGCCAAGCGTTTGCCTAAACGAAGAGGCTATACTTTTCAGCTTCATGCTCGACATTTGAATGATATAAGTTTGAACAATGATAAGTTTGAACAATAACAATAAGTATGCGGTTGCAGCCTGTGACACATCTCTCTTATAAGCTTGTAAGAATCGGAAAAGAACTGGGGAACTCAGCGTTTCGGGCCGGACGGAATGCTCTGCCCGCCGAGGCAGACGACGGGCGTGCAGAGCATGCCGTCCGAAACTTTGAGTTTTTCCCTGCTTCTGAGAACCTCACAGACATTTCAAAGTCTAGTAAAAGATATTGGTATTGCCAGAAAAACTCGAACTGTGCACGTTTTAAGATATAATACTTGCTCATTTGGAGCTGAGGAAGCGACCCAGATAGGTCGCGAAACTGTTCTCCAGCCTGTAAAGTTTAACTCCAGTTGTCTTGTTTCAACCTTATCAAATTTACTTCCTTTATTTGTTGGTAAGAGCTTAAAAGATACCCCTCGGTTCAAGTATATTGCATCTCTCAATGTATCTGCATTATTTTGCTGATTCCATTAGGTCCCTCTGGAAGTTCAAGGCTTGTAATATAGTCAGACTGGAGTGTCCACCTTTAAGTAATGTAGATGACGCTTGAAAATATCGCATGATCGACCTAGTTATCCAGTACCATAGCCTTCAGCGCGTAGCATAATCTGATCTGTGAAGACCGTACATTCAAATAGTTCTGTACCGCGTTTCTCCTGCGTTTGCTGTTTGCACTGTCTGTAATGCTTGTTTGAATTTCGCCAGTACATCTCGTGAGTAGATTTACTGTTGGAAATTGGGCGGAAAGTTAGCTTGGCTCAAGGAATCTAAAACCGTGTTTGAAGTAACTTGTGTCCCTCATTCAGTGACATTTCTAATGTCCAATTTGTAGTTGGGGGCACTTGGGTGTGTGGTGGGCTCATTTTCTGGAGAAGGCATACATCAATGCACGGACTTTAAACAATTATTCATAAATAATTAATACAGTTTACCCATTCCTATTGGTCGAGAGCCCGTCACGTGGCCGGTTTTAAACGGATGATAAAGACATGGCTGACTGGTCTTAAACACTTTTCCAGTGTCACATGAAATTTGGACTCCCATGAAATCCGGTGCCTTTACGTGTCATTGGTTGAACGTTGACATTCCTCACGTAGGCATGCGCAATACTACCAGTGATTCAGTATTTCATAGTCCGAAATTCACACTACATACACCAGCTAAGCTGCATTTTGCGCGACATTGCGCTACACGTGCGACGCGCACGCCAATCTCCTTATAAGGTAAGGAGTTGTAGAGGGACATTCCATATTATAGTCAGAGGGGTGTTTCATAAGACATAAAGTAAAATTGTTGAAAAAAATGGTTGGCAACGTCTAGTCTAGTTCTTGACTTGTTTTGATTTTTGGACCGAAAAGATTGGGTTTTTTTTTTTTTACCGAAAAGGTATTTATGAATGGGAATAAGTATAGGCTTGGTCCATATTTGCACCTTTACCTAGGTTCACCCTTAAGAAGCCCATTGGTTTCTGAATGAGCCTCGCTCACATGAATGTTATACCTAAATCATCATCACAGACTGATTGTGTCGACTCAGTGAAAATAAACCAACCTTGACTTGAGTTCATTTACCTTTATCGGGAATTCTTGCGGGTAGCAGTGTGATGGAGCCTTCAGCCACCGCCTCTTGGCCCTCCACAGGGTTGGGTTTAGTCCCCCAATCATCGCTGCCGATCCAGATGAAATGACCGGTCATATTGGCCCGGGCCACGGCCGCCAGCAGCCGACGGATGTCCGTCTCCGAGGCGAAGGTTACTACTCCCCGGGCGTGCTCTATCGTGGACAGGTACTTGACCAGCTTGTCGAAGGTACCATCCGTGGCGTCGCGGGGTATTACTTCCATCACAGTCAAGCAGATATCTTGGTTGTGGATGATCAGATATGATAAGATTTGATCAGATATGGTCAGATAAAATCAGATATGATCAGCTATCATCGGTTATAGCCAGATATTATCAGATAATGTTTGAGTGCTAGTCTTGCTGATTGTCACCTTCATGAGCCCAGTCCATCACAAGTTATCACAAGTCCGCCACAAGTTATTCAGTCTCAATTCAAAGTCGCAAGCTATTCCAATGGACTTTGTTTGACGAAAGCACTCCTATGTTATTGTTCATCACCTGATACTTTTGACTCGACTCGTCCAAGTACTTGTGATTTACTTGTGATTGAACTTGTGATGGACTTGACCACAGCACTGTCCTTAATCTACTCCCAAAACTACAGGGTGAGTTCAAAAAGGCGGAGCCCAAACCCCCCCAAAATATATTTCATATATAACAAAATATGTAGCACCAAATGACTGGAAAGCCAATTTCATAAGGTCCTCTTAGATGAAAAGAAAAATACTGAAATTGCTCAATCCGTTCAAAGAATATCGCCATTTCAACACAATGACCCTAAAACCTGACTCGTAAAAAAATGCGATTTCAAGAATCGTCGTCACAGCTGTCTTCAAACATCACCAGCGACAAAATGTCAGTTTAAACGTGAACAATATTCAACAAAGTCCTTTTGAAAGCCCATCTTTAAAAAAAAAAAATAGAATTTTATAAATCATATTGTTTGCCTTAACAGGGTTGTTAATTAAGATATTGTGTACTACAGTTGTTGACAGTTGTTGAAACAAGTATTCTGTGTTATTTTCTTTGTTGGGTTCCGCTTGTTTTTGACTCACCCTGTACTGTGGGTGGACACTGATGAAGAGCAAAGCACAAAAACCTATGGCACTTTGGTATTCAAGTGTTCAAGTTACAACATTAAGAACGAAAATAGGTGATGTAGAGATTTTTTCACAACACACAGGCACATTGAGTATTGTCAGCTAAAGATGCCTTTACCGTATTTATCATTTTCGGCAGTCAACTCCACGATAAAACACATGGAAAATGTCTTTGACGGCCTCCAAAACAGATAACCCAGATTACCCATCCCCGAATCATTTCCTCGCCGCCTAAATTCTCTGAGACACCAGCCGAAAAAAAACCCCGCACCTTCAGATATCAATATCACTACCGGACACTCTATAGCTTAAAGTGTTATCCGAAATCAGCCCAGGAATTCCATCCGTAGGAGAAACAAAATGACAAGCAAACTGTTACAGAGTAATGGGGGTAGACGTTGGTATCATTAATTGGCGATTTTCATCATCTGCCGGCCGTGGGGAAGGGCAGTGGTTTAATCCTGCCTAGCTGGAATCGCGGACGCGATAGCCGTCATTAGCCCAAAGTGATCCCGCCATTTATGCAGCCGCCCAATTGCCATTCCGGCGGGGGACTGCCGTGTATATCTACCGCCATGGCTGCTTTCAGATTCGTAGAAAATGGATCAGACTTAAAGGCCCATCCAATGTAAGTTTTTATGCAATCCATGAAAATGCACCTTTGTCCCCCATTTAACCTGATTTTCATTTTTCGTTTTGCTATTTTCAAGGGCATTTTTTTTGTACATGTCATTCTTGGCAGAAACCTTAGTGCACAAAAAGTTGCTATAGAATTTTGGATATTTTGCGGTCGTAAACTTTCTTTTCTTTGGTGATTCATTGTTGTGTCAGTACTTGACAGTAAGCCAATGAGCCAACCTTTCTCGCAAATGTTTTCAATGAGCACATTTTGGGCTCACAATAACACTGAACAGTATCTTCCTGAAATGACATCACAGCAACAGCGCCCTCAGTTGTCCGGGAAAGCACAGACAATTTTGAACGTTTTAAGAAATGCACTTTTAAAAAAAATAACCAAAAAGGGATTTCAAATAGGTTTCAAACATATAAGAGGAGTAGAAAGTCGCACAAAATGTGTTACTAAGAAATATTCATTGCATTGACCCTTTAAACGTAAACGTACAATTGCCGAAAGGCCTTAAAGACGCTGAAAATAGCGATATGGATCCAACCTATTATTAGGTATTGTTGGGCTTATATATTCGTTTCCAACATATAGATACGGCGGTTGCACAGCTAATTTTGCAGCAGAGTTTGAACAGCGACATTTCAAACTGACACGAACTTGTGGAACAAATTTCCACTTTAAATGTCTCCTGATGCGAAAACCCTCCACTGTTTACTTTACAATGTAGTTTACATTGGGGACATTAAAATGTGTATATGAGTCGAGTTTTATTGTTTTTAGAAATAAAAATGGAGAAAAAATAAGGTAAAGATATTTGCTTCAGGCAGCGGTGTTTCGAAAATTTAATTTTACAGTGCCTTCGTTTCAATGGATTCGTTACAAAAATATCTCCAAGACAATCGTTAAAATAAAAAAAAAAGAGTGGGGGAGGTTTACCCTTAGCCTATGCACAAGGGATCGTCGAAGAAAATATTCTTGGTTAAGCCATACGGTTGACGTCAAGGCTGACGTCACTTCATGTGGCAGGAGCATCTTCAACACAATATAATGTAATTTCAGAGCGTCTAGAGCCGAATTTAATTTAGTAAATTTCCAATAAGTGCCCGGTCAGTCTAATACAATAAAACGAACAACAGAACGACGAAATACATGCTGACGAACATTTTGTAATTCGTAATTCTGTTTTCTGTTTCTCTCTAGCTCAGATGAGAACATCGTAATCGACAAGATGATTATAAGAGCTAGATGAAATGACTTCTGACTTTCAAGCCGGCTTACGCCGAAATGCCTCAGTAGAAAGCAATGACTTGGAAGTAAGATCTTCCCCGTAACGCACAGTCCATTAATGCATTCCTAATGGGTGTATTGACTGTGGCCGAATAGGCGTGTGCTTGGCGTGTTGTGATATTAAACATGATTGGAATTTAATGAGGAGCGTTACACTTCTGGTTCCCTATTACATGTCACGTGTAAATAATTTGCCGTGGAGTTCCATGCATGGCTATCTAAGTTTTCGAAATTTTCCAAACCTCGGCCTCATTTCCAGCTTCTTCGAATGTTAATTTGGTTCGGGCATGCATGCAAGACTCCTTTAGTTACTCTGCGGCCGGAGGTGAAGCCGAACCGGAGACAAGTTTTTGAAACTGAATGCATGACCTCTGTATGGAAGGGTTGAGCAATGCCTACTTTCTGATTAACCCCTAACTGTCTAATGTACAGCAGCCTTTATGTTGGACAACAGGATACAATGGGGTTTAAAGGGAAAATACAACATTTGCAAACATCAAAATATAAAACTACCAAATCATTTTGAAATACCTTGCTGGACTGTTAGTGAATGACAGTGTAAAGCATCCTGTAACATCATGGCACCTGGTATACTGTCATTTTCAAGAAAAGTGGTATTTTTGTATCAATTTCCAACGCTGATCGGCCGATCAGCGTTGGAAACAACTGGCTTTTTTTTTTAAATACTGGCCCCAATTGACCATCGCACTTGTTTGCAATCGATTACAAACCTATGAACGGGTACGAGCCAGCTAGACTGGTTCCCTTACCTTACAATTCCCCAATGTATGTAAACTGCTCTGTTTCTTCTTATATGGAGTCACGGAACCAGACTACAGGAAAATGATCGTTTTTCTTGGTTTTTATAGCATTTTCGAACCCAAAACCTCAAAAAAATCAGTGTAACTATATTTGCTATATATTTCCAACCCCCAATTCCATCCATTTCTGAAAATTACAGCAAAAGCAAATGATGTATATTCCCTTTAAGCTTAACGTTAACCTTACGTGGACAGAAGTAATTATTCTCCCATGTGTAAACAAACAACTAAACATAAAAATCTTAACTTGACATCTTGGCAGCAATTTGCGTAAACGACGCGGACAAAAATGCGGGTCTAAAAAGAAACTATGGGTCTGAGAAAAACAAGTTAACAGCAACAAATGACATTAACTAATTGTTTATAATATAGTCAGTTCACTTGACAGACAAGGTATAGAAATTCATATCCAGTAAGTACAAGTGCCCACCCAAAGCACATGTGGGAAGAAACCGATCGCATGACGAGTCGGGAGACTTCTTCCAAAGTGAATGCCATTGTACTTTGCTGATCTGCAATGACTTCTTCCGATGTAAATGCCATCATACTTCGCTGATCTGACATGTCAAAAGCTACACCAGCAACATTTCAAACTTCTCCTTCTTGTCCAGCACCGTAGTTCGAGCGAGGATGTCCATTAACATCAGTCCTCACAACAATATTTCGTAATTTTTGACAGTGCTTACGCCACCGAAGGCTGATCTGTGTGAAAGTTAACTGCTTGGCTTTCTGTATTAAAAGTGCACACATTCCCACAAATAGCTCCAATTTAACGCACGGTTTGCCACGCGCACCACTGTCAACCATTTTGTATTATTTAAGCTTCCACATTCAAGGAAAAACACAACAAAGACAAGGGGATATTAACGATGGTTGTTGCGACCGAGCCACGCTTGACTTGGTGAGATGAGTCGCCTGTCAACCGAGGCAATTACGGGTATTATTTTTAAGTGTGGCCTGAGTGACTGTGTTTCACACCCGAAGTGTTGCAAACAGCTCTCCCTAAGCACGCCAGTGCATGGAGGCCTAACGTCACGGGGGCTGTAGCTGCACGCAGCTTCACTTTAGGTGATAATTTGTCGAACAATAAATTATAAAACAAAATATAATATAAAAACCTAACTGGGGAGTTTTTCGACACCATTAGGCGTACGTGACATTATTAAGGCAAATGACGCAGACTCCAACTCAATATGAAGTGGGTTTTTTTAAGGAAGAACATTCAGGTTTACTTTCGTGAATATTGAGATCAATCAAAAATAGGATATACATTGAAGCCCACGTAGGATAAAACAGAAGCATTATGACACATTATGGGCCTTATTCACGAGTCGGCCATATTGGATTGAGAGTGAGGTAAAATCTTCATTTTTGGAACTTGTGTAAAGAAATGAAAGCAATGACGTTACAAATTAATACCAGTCTGCTGAAGAATGATTTAAAATTTGGGATTAAACATACACTAATGTTTTAAGCCACATTTAAAAAAAAATGAAAGTGAGGCTATAGTGAAGAAATAGTCCGGCACCATGCCATTCAACAGTTCTCAATAATAAAACACATTCAGGGAACGCGACAAAAATGGCCAACTTGTGCATAGGGCCCATAATACACCAACCGAGCATGGGCGTCGCGAGGGGGGGGGGAGGGCAAGGGGGGCACTTGCCCCCCCCCCCGGAAAAAAAAGGAAGAAAAAAAAAAGAAGAAAAAAGAAGAAAAAAAGAGAGGCGCGAAGACAAAGTGGTGTAAATTTAATGAGTTGGGGGGGGCAAAATGTTTCTGCCCCCCTCTTAAACTGATAAATCGAGAATGTGTTGAGAAATACAAGCATTTTTTGGCAACATTTTTTTTGCCCCCCTCTAGAAAAAATCCTGGCGACGCCCATGCAACCGAGAGCTATGTTTTGGCCAATAACTGTGATGTAATGTGCTAATTCTGAGAAGTTACACAAACAATCCCCCCTTTTATGAATCAAAACACCGACCTGTAGATCTAGACAGATTCCTGAAGGTGCTGATACCATTTTCCCCGTAGTTGCCAGCAGAGGCCACCGTAGATACGTACGTCCAGCCCAGAGCCGTTACGATATCCAGCATTGCCTGTGCCTGGTAAGTGTCCGGGGGAACGACACGCAGGAAATAGTCGTAGCGTGACTTGTCACTCAGCTCCGGGCTCGTCGAGGCATAGCTCACTTGAGGAATCTACACAACAAACAAACAAAGATTCTACTTTAAAATATGGCAATTAGGAACGGGGAGCCTGAAGTTTCAAATGGAGTCGAAGCTGCGGTTTTAGAAACGAACTCCTTTGCTATGCAGTTAATTCATGACCGTCGATTTTTTTTCTCTGCTTCATTATCAAATTTGCTTTTCGTGTTTGTTTAAAGTCCCGCCTGGTATTTCAGAGAATACACTCTGTTGGCCCGAAGTGTTTAACGACAGCTGTCAAGGGCATTTCCGAACTTGAAATACATCTACAGTGTTTCCAAAGTGGAGTGCGGAAGAATTTGCATGTCATGGTATTACAGTCGATTGGGTTTTGCCTTCGGATTTTTGTTTCACATCTTACGGAAGGGTGAGATACAACTTCAAAATAAGATCAGTTGAAATTGTTGTTTCATTACGTACATTTTTGAAGGACCCTCAAAGACAATCAATTATGATTCCCAAGACATATTTCACAGGGATGGATATGAAAGGAAAGGCTTTCGAAGTAAAGAGCCACCTTTCCGGTGGGTATCGATTTTATGACAGCTTTTTTCGCAATTCATTTTTGAAAAGTGACGGAGGTTTTCATTTAGAAGTCGTTACTGCATGCTAGAGTGCATTGTTCCGCTTGCCAATCAAAAGCAAAAACACTCAGTTTTTCACGGGGCTGAGTGCGATTTCCAGTCCTTCAACAACAGTGAGGCTGTGTACGTCTTCAAGGTGTTAGGAAAGTCGCATGAAAGTGAACTCCGGGGCATCAGTTAGCTTGGTCTTCAAAAAGCTCATACTAGGATCCATTATGTGAGCACATATCTGTCTTGAAGACAAGACTCCATTGTTTCAATTTTGGAAATTAAATTATGATTACGTCCCCCTGTATCCCTAACACCAAAAATTTAGACTGTTGGAAAGTTTAAGGAAAACCTCAACTTCGGCATTATGTTGGGTTTCTCACCACAACAGTCTCGGGGAAGGATGATCCAATGACCCATCCCTCTGATCAAACATGTGTGGGTGTGGGTGTGTGTGTGTGTTGGGGGGATATTATCCCAATCCCCCTTCCCCTAGATTTACGCCATTGATACACCCTCATCAAAATAGTAGGATGGTTTTATTGTTTTATGGCTCTTGGGTATTCGCGCCATTTTGTGTGCTACAACTGAAATAATGGTGGGTTCAATTATTATTTTTAGTTACTTTATTTCGTGAGACGTATTTCTGTGAAGAAATTTATGTTGGAACTATAACAAGGCCAAGTAAAAACAAACCCAGTTGATCGTCCCCGCCCGCATCCTTTTTTGAAGCCGCATTCTTCTCATTTAATTTTTTCTCACCTCAGAAACTGCTTTTTTTTACTTGGCCGAGTCGGAGTCTTCCGTCCGTTTGGAATATCGGTTAAAAAGAATTGCATCTATAATCATCCAAATCGTGTAAAATTTTACAGATTAATTAACTGGAAATAAACTCGCATTATAAAATGTACATTCCATGACGTCACTTAATGAGACGTAGGCCTAACAGTTTCAAAAATGTGCAATTAAGGCTGAATAAGAAACAGATAAGAAACAGTGAACAAATAAGAAACAGTGAAACCTTCTTCTGTGGAACATCTTGAGGCAGAAATAACATCACGAAGGAGCACAGTGGACGAATTCGATTGAAAGAGATTGATTAAACTGTGCACAGCGATATTCTAAAGGGCATTATGATCGACACAAGTCAATGGTGTTTTGAAATCTATGCGATGCTGATAGCACATACGCAGTACACAAGGCAACATCTGCGTGCGTGTGTCACGCACGCTTCCATAAAACACCTCAAGGCCACCGTATTATACATTCTCGTCTGACATCTTAAGAGGCTTGACTTGATCGCCAGCCAGCGGTTACAGTTGGCGTCTTTTTGGCAGTTGGTGTCGAGGCCGGTCTGTAAATCTCGAAGGCCTGGAGGAAAGCGGTGTATCTTTCCATCACTTGCAAGCAAAAATGTGCGGAGTCACAATTATGGGCGTTCATTTCTGGCAAAGGAAGGACTTCAGTTTGATTGCAATGATTATACCAAACTGTGAAATCGGGATGCCGATTGCAGTGATATTAACACCTTCATCAGTAGGGCTTACTTACAAACGAAACCTATTGGCCTGAGGGTTTCAATGCATACCGTAGAGATGCTGCAACATTTTGTTACATAGCCTATGTAACAAACTTTCCCTTACTCAGTGTTATAATCGTTTATAATGATGCCATTTTATATCTTGTGTATGGGCAAATCTCCTTATCTCCTTTGACAATCCTGTCACGATCAGACCTGACTGGTATCACGTCTTTTCGGCAAACAGTAATAACTACTACTTTGGTTCCCAAACTACCTGGACTTGTAAGTCTTGTGATCATAGTACCCGACTAATTTAGACACTTTGGAGATTTTCGGTTTCGTCCCTGACTGAGTGGATTCCGGCTCAGTGTTGGTCCATATTCTTCCTTAGGAGCATCACTGTCCTATGCCAAGAGGCCATCATTTAGAGCTTTTCATAGGGGTTTTCAGAGATAAATCCGCCATCGGTGATGAAGCCGTGGTTTTGAAAAACTCTGACACACATAAATTCGACAACCGTTTGGAACATAGTTGCGGCAATGTAGCCATTCATTAAAACATGGGTAATACATTCTACATGACCATGATGCCATATGGATCTCACAGGCTAGAATTTTCTCCCAAGAACAACTTACACTTTGGATTTGCCATCATCATCAAAACCTGATCGGAATGTATTCATCTTTTGTTAGATTTCAGGATTTGTAACTCAATTGATTTTCACCCTTTTCGTTTCCCGAATGATTCGGCATTAGCCCATTCGCATTGGATTGGTTGTTGGTGTTAACCTCTTTTGCAGAACTTTAAAAAGTATATCACTAGTAAAGAAAAAGAAATTCTGATACATTCATACATCTAAGCAAAAAATGTACTCATTGATAGGCTCTCCGTTATATGAGATATATCACTACAGAAAGACTAAAAAAGAATGGGAAATGCTTTCAATGACAACTAGTTACTTTTTATAACTCCACTGACGTTTTATGACATTTTAAACTTTTTTTTTTACGAATAAACATTGATTCACACGAGGTCTTCCTCGCTACATCGTGACAAGGTTAAAAATGGGCTCCTTTTAACAAAGGTTTTCTACTGAATAATTCATCGTGTTATGATGAGACAAATAGAATAAATCAAATAAACGAAAACATTTTGCACCGCCGACTGCTTTTGAGTGACAGTCACAAACGAATATTTGCATAGTCTTTCAGCAAGGTTTTTTTTTTTCCATTCCAATCCCTGGATATTAACCGTGCGTCGTTGGGACAACAAGTCAGTGACCCAGCGGAGCCCCACAGCAGCCTCTTAACGGCATTACAAACCGAATAAAAAAGATGAGTGGTGTTTTTTTTACAAGCCTCTCACAATGCACAGATGCCTCCTGGGTGTTGTTGTGGAAATTATGCATTTTTCAAATGTGATAATTAAGGCCCTGTGGGAGGAATCTCGACGGTTAAATACTAAGGCCAGTGTCTGGTCGAGCTGGTTATAAAACTCCCGTATAGCTTTGATAATTTCCCTACGCTTCCCAAGACAGAAATTGGTAAACAAGCCAAAATATTCCTTTCAGGCAAACTTCCAAAGCAGCTGCTGTGTGCCGCTTTTCGCAAAATTTAAATTACGAGCATCGATATATTGCCGCTGTTGTTTTTAAACATACGCAGGCATCTTTACACTCTATACCTTTTCCCACATATTTAAAAACTAACTACTTTGTACCTATCTCCTGTATATGTACTAAGCTATCTAATAAGTCAAAGCCAAGCAAGGTGGTTAGATCAGTAAATCTTAAATGTGATACACTGACAGCAACACAGTGGCGCGTTTTTACAGCCATCTTATGTTCGCTTTTACAGGTCCGCTATAAATATCACTCTCTTTCCTTCAACAGCACCCCCTCCACGACGAATCCTGCCTGCTGAGTTTAAAATAGACTTAATGGTGTACTGAAAAACAACCTAACTAAATTTGTTTTCTGAAGAAATCATAATTACAACTACCACTAATAATTCAAACAGTGTTTTCACTTTTGTCATTTTTATGTAAATATTGTAGTTTAAATTGAGACATATAATCACGTTTCATATCTTTTAGGATTTTGAAACTGTTGATGTTATTTTTTGGCAACACCAGAAACCAAAGCTTCACTTCTCCCGATTTTGACATTGGAATGATATAGCAATGTACGACACACGGCTGTAAACAGTGACTCTATGCTAGCACGTTACAGTAAACTGTCCTGCCTGAGGACACACGCTCCTGATTTGAAAATCACATTAAGTGACTATTATAGACCGAGACGTTCAACGCCTTCGTGTTAATGGTTAAGAAGACATGATGTGTGATTGAAGTGTCGCCCCAGCAAGATACCCCATTATCTGTCATTGAGTGCGCACCCTAATACACGTATAGCAGTTTATAATTGACGATATACTGCAAAAAATAAAATCGGACTGTCCGTTACAATTGCACCGGTGGCGTTAATGTTTAAACGGCAATAATATTGCCGTTTGGTAACTACGTCAAGCACAAGGTCACAGACATGATGACAACCAACAAAGGCATTGACCGTGCAGCTTTATTTTTTCCTACGCAGCTGTTGGTCCAGAGTCTTTGTTGGCAATATTCCATCATTCTGGCAAATACAGGAAGAGTTTCTTTATTCTAAGGACGCTATCAATCCCACAAAGGGCATTCTTCTACCCTGGATGATGTGGTTATTTATTGAGTTACTACTCACCGTCCAGATTACGTTGATTCCCTTCTCTTTGACTGCTCGATTGGCGAGAAAAGCATTATATATTGTTGACACGCTATGCTACCTGAAACCAAAACATCCACCTACTCCTAGCGTTACAAATTCGATTACGCACTAGGAAATATGTACAATTCTATAATGC